TCTTTACAGTTGTTTTTTTTTTTTTTTTGTCCTGTCCAGTGGCGTTTAGCATTATTTTAGTATCACTGAGATACTATTAAAGTTTTATTAACAATTTGAATTAGGTGTTATTTTTATATTGTGTTTCCATTTAAATTTTAATTTAAGTTTTAGTAATTTTGTGTTTTTGTCATATTCTTTTTTTTTTTTTTTTTTTACGTATGTATATATTTAAAATGATTATATGTAATCTGGATTACATAATCAGATTCCAAAAATGTATTATAGATTATATTATTACTTATGTTTACTTTTTGATTGATTAAATGATTACATATTATTCACACAATGGCAATAAATTCATATTTTTTTTATTTCCCCTAATTAAATCTTTTATTTTTTAATGTTTAATTTTGAAAAAAAGCCTACTGCTTTTATTCATTCAAAAAGTAATACAATTTATAATTTGACATTTTTTATGATTTAATTATTAGCATTATCAATTTACGAACCCCCTGCAGTTCCTTCACAAACCACAATTTGGGAAACCAGGACGTAACGTAATGTTTGATGCACTTCATGTCGTTGGTAACAAAAAATGGAATATATTGTATCAATATAGTACAAGATAATCCTTTTCAAATCAACGTCATAAACAAGTTAGGTCAAAAGTAATTTAAAAGTAGTCAGATTATATTATGTTAAATGTGTAATGATTATGTGACTAATTACAAAAGGATAAGCTGAAGGTCATTGTTTTGGTCTTGATATCTTTATATGTGTGTGCACTGATGCAAGTTTTTCACAGTTCTATTACATCGTCGTCACCCACTTACCTCATCTGTTAATATGTGGCGTCATTCCCTGTGTTTGCTTCAAACAGAACGTAGATGTGTCACGGCTGCCGGAAGAGGCTTTGTTAACAGTGCCAGATCATCATTGACAGTACCTCGTTCCTCTCTTTCTCACACACCATTATCCCATTCCCGTTCCCCTTTCTTAGGAATGTAGACATTCATACATTCCTAAATGCTTCTACGGCATTTTCTGAAATCAGGGGCAATTTTTACAGCTCAGTAAATGCCTTTTGAATTACAACTCAGAAGTGAAGAACTCTTGAGATGATTATGTACAGAATTAACTTTTTTTTTTTGTTCATTTTGTGTTCATTGACAACGTGTTAATACTAAATTGCACTTTATCATGAATGCGCACTGATGTTTTTCAGTTCCTGCTGCACATGAATGTAACTGCTGCTATGAAAGAACACCAGTCACTCCAGTAGCATGTGATATTTATTTATGGCACATATGTAAATTAGTTTGGGATTTGGCTGGTTAATTTGACATTATTGTCTTAAAAGTTAGAATGTGTATCATGTATAGGTCAAATTTGAAGCAGATAGAGCAGGGGTGGCGAACGTCAGTCCTGTTGAGCCGCAGCCCTGCAGAGTTTTGCTTCAACCTTAATCAAACACACCTGAACAAGCTAATCAAGGTCTGAAGGGTTACTAGAAAGCTACAGACAGGTGAGTTTTAATTAGGGTTGGAGCTGAACTCTGCAGGGCTGCGGCTCTCCAGGACCGGAGTTCGCCACTGCTGAGATAGAGCCTTATCTTGGAAAGAAATTTTAGATGATTTTAGATATTTACATAATAATTTATAGTAAATTTTTCAGTTTTGTGAAACACTAAGGAATGTTATGATGTGAAACTCTCCTCTGGTAACTGAGGAGGAGGAAACATCTCTACTGTAATGCCTATTTGCGATGCTAATAAAATGTATTTAAATAGTGAAATCCTGTCTCTCTTTACATTCACCCACAATTCTGTCTGTCGCTGAAGAACAAAGACAGAACAACTTCTGAAACATCTAAAACATAACTGCACCACACTGCAAAAAAAAAAAAAAATGCGAATATGACAGACAAACGAGATGTGCAGCATATAACCGTGAAAAGGCAATAATGTGATTTATGTCAATGGACTTTGACCTGAACTCAAAGGGCAGTGTCAGGATGGAGATATTGAGCTAATGATATCAATATATAATGATATATTCTTTTTTTTTTTTTTT